AGCAAAATGTAAAACCATAAAACATGGCCATCAAAAAGCACAAAGAACAAACAAACAAAAAAAACATATCCAGGGAGATGATAACGCATTTCATGCCGCATGGCACTTAGTCATAACCTGTTAACCCTCTACTGGGGTATTCCAATGAATATTGTAACACTCCGTTAATTGAAGAAAAGTGCTAACCCTCACCTTACTATTGGAAACAGAGCAAACAGGACAACAAACATCCACTAATGAGAACAATTTAACTGAACAAAAAAAAAAAAGCCAAGTACAGTACTGCATATATTGGATTTATCCATAGTCTAATCTAATGTGTTTCTTTTTTTATAAAGAGACATAACTTGTAACTAATTTGTAATTTACAACATTTGTATTCGAGTGGACAGATTTGTTTGCAACAATGTAAAGTATTTTAGCCTTCCAGAGCTGTAATTAATTCACTGTCATCTCAATGTAGAATTGCCTGTCTCTTACATTTATCTCAGGTGTGTCTTATGTTTTTTGATGTCTTTTATGTCTGACATGTTTTTATTATCTTACATTTGACTTTTTGGTTATTTTTAATTTTGGATGTTAGTTGTCCTCTTTGCTCTGTTCCCTATATTGAGCTGAGAGTTCTTTTCTTCAATTAAGTGACCGTTAATATATACATTTAACTACCCCAGTAAGAGTTTAACTTGTTAAATTAAGGGTCATGCGGCACGATATGTGCTTTTTGCTGCTATGTTTGTGTTTTTTTTTAATTAAAATGTATATTTAATTTAACCATGGACTGCATTTACTCTGGATACAGATCTGGATGCTAGCTGGCATCTTAATCAATTTGTTTTTTAAATATATACCTACCTGAATATGAACATGCCATCCACATGGTTTTGGAAGAAAGAATAAACCCCTTAGAATATATAGTTGCCCAAGGGGATATTACCATCCACAAAGTTTGGTTAGCACGGATTGGCTTTAAAGTGGTTAAAGAAATCCTCATATTTGAATGCTTGCAGTAAAAGACATTACACACCAAACTTCAGTATTCCATATAGGTTAACTGAAAAAAACTTGACAAGGAAGATAAGCCAGTTACATGTAACAAGGTCAATGACAGCTGAACCACCTAGGCCTCTACAGAAGCCTGTCAATAAGACTTGTGAGCCAATGTCCATAAACTCAGTGAGTTTAAACAGCATGATAATAAAATAACGAGCATGACTCAAAAGGGCATAATTTCCTTTAAATAAGGGTTGTACACTTTGCAATCTTGGCGATCACATACAACAAGTTTATAACTAAGAAATACACTCAATGGAACTACTTCCAGAAGCACACATTTATAAAATGGGAACATTATTTGTGCATCTGTTCATTAGAAAAATAAAAGCTCTTTTTATAGTTTGTGTTCTAAGACACGATAGCGTAATGATTTCGAGAAATGTTTATTGTTAAGTAGATATGTGGTTATTTTTGTCACCTTAGATCCTCACACAAATTTTGACAGAATCGCTAAGCTAAATGTTACGGCATTAAAGTGAGGAGTTTTCTGTTGAAAATGTTCTTTTGCTTTAAATATATACAAGGTCAGTTATATGAGCAATAAAAACCACACACTTAGATCAAGTCTAAAAAAATCTACCTAAAGCAGAACTGTTACTTTTCTACATGAAATGCCACATGGGCAGATACATGCGGTGGAATTCCTATAGCAGTGCCATAGCGTGCATGCACTGTGTGTTTGGCGGCACAACAAAGGTTAAGGAGATTATATGGTGTGCCCAGCAGGGCAGAAATATTATATGTTCATTTATTGTAAGAAATGGGAACTAGTGGAAAGAAAAAATAAAGAAAAAATAACGACACACGTAGTAAGAAACTTTTTAAAAACCTCACAACTGACAGGTTCTCTTTCAAGTTACAAATCAGTAACTAAGTAATGGAAAAAATAGTAATGCTTGATAAATAATAGAGGAAAACGTATCTATACCAGACAGGCTGCCCTATATGGACACAGTGAGAAATTGTGACTAATTTATTATAAATGATTTCAAAATATTCCTGCAATCTACGCAAACCGAAATAGTCAAAAAAACACTCCAAACCACCATAAGCACTACTGCACGCTTTAGTGGTTATGGTGCCTGGAGTCCTCTGGCACCTTCCCCCAATGTAAGTAGTCAAACAGTTTTAGTGCAGTTTGACCTTTTACCTGGGTCTGCTGGGGCACTTCTCCCCACCACCACTACTTCAGGCAGAGAGCCAGAAGATCTCTGGGCTATGCCTAGCAGTGCAGGGCTAAGTCATTGGCTGAGAGCAATTAGTGGAAAGCAGAGAACATGTCAAAGGAATATTTTCTTGGTTTATTGCAGTGTTTCTTAACCCTTGGTGAGGATTTAAATCTGGATCCCCTGTAGGTCCACAATGATACGAACAGGCACAAGGAATTCATCAGGATCCAGCGTAATGCCTAAGGTACAAGAAATTTTCAAAAAAAAAAAGGCACTACACTAACCAGTTGTTGTTCCTCAATATCCACACATGACCTGGAACAGTACCAAATTGTCAGAGGGCAAAGTGTCACTAGCTCTGTATGGCACTGAAATAAAACGGAGACATCAGATCAAAAGCTACTAAATATGTAAAGGAAAAATAAAAAGGAAATACAAATGATTGTTTTGATGTCACATGTATACCGTAGAGAATATAGGTTAATAATAAGACTCATATTGTTGCTGTGTACAATGCTAAATATATACAAGAATAGCTAACTGAAACATCACAAGAGAGAAGAGGCAGATTAATAAAATGCCAAAATAAACCATGTTTCTGTAAATATTAAACAAAGGCCAGACGATTTCTGTTTAATTATCCAATAGAAGATGATCCTGCTAAAAAGTTGGGTTTATTCCCTACACAGTGAATTGCAGTAAATTTAGAAGTGATTTTTTTTTTTAATTCTTTATTTTTCATTGTGCAATATCCGACAATATAGCCTTCATAGCCCCAACAGCTTATGCAGGCACAATAATAACATTTTTGTGGTATTGATGGCTTTTGCTCAAATTTTACAGATAGTTATATTCGAACCATTTAACATGTTCAATTGTATGATGCAATATAAACGTGTATATAGAAGTATGCCACCTTAACATATGCCTAAACTATCTCTACACAATAGTTGTCCTGTGAGTTGGGCTGAAGTATATTCTGCACTTTTTGGGATATATTGGGCTGGCTGGTCATAGCGCATATATTGTCTGTGCCGCTATTGAGGGTGGTGGGCAGTAATTTAACACTGGCACATGAGATTAGCTTTTAGAAGTGATTTTAAATTTAGACGAAGACATAATTAGGCGTAATTATTGTATTTGGGTTTTCCAATGAACTATTATTTGCTGTTTAGTGACTAAATCCTTCTTGACCGGAAGAAAAAGCCACTAATTTATTGACCTCAAAACTCTCTCAGGGTTGGATGGTGAGCAAAGCAGTCAGAGTTATTCCTCTGAGTACAAGAGGATGGCGAGCAATGCAGTCAGAGTTATCCCTCTGAGAACAAGAGGATGGCAAGCAATGCAGTCCGTTATCCCTCTGAGTACAAGAGGATGGTGAGCAATGCAGTCAGTAATCCCTCTGAGTACAAGAGGATGGTGAGCAATGCAGTCAGAGTTAACCCTCTGAGTACAAGAGGAAGGTGAGCAATGCAGTCAGTTATCCCTCTGAGTACAAGAGGATGGTGAGCAATGCAGTCAGTTATCCCTCTGAGTACAAGAGGATGGTGAGCAATGCAGTCAGTTATCCCTCTGAGTACAAGAGGATGGTGAGCAATGCAGTCAGTTATCCCTCTGAGTACAAGAGGATGGTGAGCAATGCAGTCAGTTATCCCTCTGAGTACAAGAGGATGGTGAGCAATGCAGTCAGTTATCCCTCTGAGTACAAGAGGATGGTGAGCAATGCAGTCAGTTATCCCTCTGAGTACAAGAGGATGGTGAGCAATGCAGTCAGTTATCCCTCTGAGTACAAGAGGATGGTGAGCAATGCAGTCAGTTATCCCTCTGAGTACAAGAGGATGGTGAGCAATGCAGTCAGTTATCCCTCTGAGTACAGAGGATGGCGAGCATTGCAGTCAGTTATCCCTCATCAGCAGTCAGAGTTATCCCTCTGAGTACAAGAGGATGGCAGCAATGCAGTCAGAGTTATCCCTCTGAGTACAAGAGGATGGTGAGCAATGCAGTCAGAGTTATCCCTCTGAGTACAAGAGGATGGCGAGCAATGCAGTCAGAGTTATCCCTCTGAGTACAAGAGGATGCTGAGCAATGCAGTCAGAGTTATCCCTCTGAGTACAAGAGGATGGCGAGCAATGCAGTCAGAGTTATCCCTCTGAGTACAAGAGGATGCTGAGCAATGCAGTCAGAGTTATCCCTCTGAGTACAAGAGGATGGCGAGCAATGCAGTCAGAGTTATCCCTCTGAGTACAAGAGGATGCTGAGCAATGCAGTCAGAGTTATCCCTCTGAGTACAAGAGGATGGCGAGCAATGCAGTCAGAGTTATCCCTCTGAGTACAAGAGGATGCTGAGCAATGCAGTCAGAGTTATCCCTCTGAGTACAAGAGGATGGCGAGCAATGCAGTCAGAGTTATCCCTCTGAGTACAAGAGGATGCTGAGCAATGCAGTCAGTTGTTCACCTCCCTCCATTGCCTGAGGATGATGTGCAATGCAGTCAGAGAAGGATCCATCCCTTCCATAGTCAGAGAGTGCTGGAGCTATGCAGTCAGAGGTTAACTGTCCCTCCCGGTCCCCCAGCCCCTCCCGGTTCCCCCCCGGAGGTTACTCACGCTGGGCGGCCCGGATCCTTCCTCCCGTCTTCCCCCTGAACACACCGAGAGAGAGAACAGGCTGGTCCGTAGCGACGGGACGTGCCAGCGCGGCGTGATGACGTAACGGGGGCGGAACACGGAAACAATGTGAAACGCTGCGCCAGGTGTGAGAATGAGGCCTGGAACGCAAACAGAACCAGAGCCCCACCCCTTCCTGCTCACTGTGCTCACTGTGCTCACCGTGCTGACCAGGAAGTGGAGTGAGAGAGGCTGGTGAGTAAACCTTCCACAATACACAGCATGAATGGGAAGGCTCTGAGTGATGGCTGAGCCCCTACATGTCAGGCTGGCTGAGGATCATAGGAAGGAGCGTACAGAAAAAAACAGCACTCCAAGCCCATCACTGAGCTCCAGGGATTCCCAGCCATCACCCAGCCAGCCGGTGTACACTGAGCCGTCACTCGGCCAGCCGGTGTACACTGAGCCGTCACCCGGCCAGCCGGTGTACCCTGAGCCGTCACCCGGCCAGCCGCTGTACGCTGAGCCGTCACCCGGCCAGCCGCTGTACGCTGAGCCGTCACCCGGCCAGCCGGTGTACGCTGAGCCGTCACCCGGCCAGCCGGTGTACGCTGAGCCGTCACCCGGCCAGCCGGTGTACGCTGAGCCGTCACCCGGCCAGCCGGTGTACGCTGAGCCGTCACCCGGCCAGCCGGTGTACGCTGAGCCGTCACCCGGCCAGCCGGTGTACGCTGAGCCGTCACCCGGCCAGCCGGTGTACGCTGAGCCGTCACCCGGCCAGCCGGTGTACGCTGAGCCGTCACCCGGCCAGCCGGTGTACGCTGAGCCGTCACCCGGCCAGCCGGTGTACGCTGAGCCGTCACCCGGCCAGCCGGTGTACGCTGAGCCGTCACCCGGCCAGCCGGTGTACGCTGAGCCGTCACCCGGCCAGCCGTTGTACGCTGAGCCGTCACCCGGCCAGCCGTTGTACCCTGAGCCGTCACCCAGCCAGCCGGTGTACACTGAGCCGTCACCCAGCCAGCCGGTGTACACTGAGCCTTCACCCAGCTAGCAGGTGTAAACTCAGCCAGCCAGTGTAAGCTCAGCCATCACTCAGCCAGCCGGTGTAAACTCAGCCGTCACTCAGCCAGCCGGTGTAAACTCAGCCGTCACTCAGCCAGCCGGTGTAAACTCAGCCGTCACCCAGCAAGCCGGTGTAAACTGGACCGTTACCCAGCCAGCCGGTGTAAATTCAGCCATCACTCAGCCAGCCATTGTAAACTAAGCCATCACCATGCTAGCCAGTGTAAACTAAGCCGTCACTCAGCTAGCCAGTGTAAACTGAGCCGTCACTCAGCCAGCCGGTGTACACTGAGCCGTCACCCAGCCAGCCGGTGTACACTGAGCCGTCACCCAGCCAGCCGGTGTACACTGAGCCTTCACCCAGCTAGCAGGTGCAAACTGAGCCGTCACCCAGCTAGCCGGTGCAAACTGAGCCGTCACTCAGCCAGCCAGTGTAAACCCAGCCATCACTCAACGTCTTTGCAGATCTTTGAAAGTGACAGATCTTTAATTTTTTTTGTGGTTTTCACATGTTAATTTCTAGACCATGTGTGTCCCACTACAACAATACTCCTGTGTAGACATTTGACAGATTATACCTTTTCACCAGGTCGACTCAATGACCAGTTTCTATCAAATGTTGCATTTAGTTTTATTTATTTATAATACATATGGCATATTAATGTCATATATTTCTCGTACGTTTTGTGTTTTACTAGTTTGAATAGACCAGATTTTTAATCTGCTTTATCTTCCCACATTTATACCATTGCCAGGTTTTTGGTGTGCTCTAATTTTAACATAGCTTTTCAGAGATGCTATGTTGGTGGAATGGCTGTGCCAGCAATACATACTGACCATCGACAAACACTAACATTGTTTTTTTAACCCTGTATAGCCGAACACAGTCTAATCCTAACACTATCTATATCCCGCTTCAACCCTGTCCATACCTAACGCTAGCTCAAACGAATACCAACTGTGTGCTGTTTAGTGTATTTGCCTCTGATCTAATTGATAGCTGTGAGAGCTAATGGCAGTAAAGAAAAGTCGTAAGTTTCAGTTAAGGCTTGTCTCACAGGGATTGGATCTCAGTGAGATCAGATAGCCTTGAGGCCTCAATGCTGAATTAACCCGCCGATTGGTCAGTGACAGCTGAACCCAGCATGCACTCCTGCAGCTAGAGACCAGCTGTCACTAATTGCTTAGAATTGCTATAAATAGGCAATATTTATAGGAAGGAGTCAAACAAAAAATACTCTATAAACTGTCCAAAGCATACCCAACTTAAAGTGTTCTCCAAAAACATCACAAAGAGTTGTGAGTGAACCATCATGCAGGCTTTAGAACAAAGTAGTTGGACTTAAAGACAACAACAAAAAAACAATATCCAGCTTAGCCAGTTTGGGTAGAAATGAAAGAGAGGGTGAGCGTTATGAAATTGCAGGAATGTTAAAAATTTTTTCTTTTCTGATAGGTTATTAAGCACCCGAGGAGCTTTGTATAAGATGGCCGCTTAGCCTGCTTCCTTGTTGGATCAGTAAATGAAGCATTGTCTGATGGAAGTGTGTCTTAAATTACAGTGGCTGCAGTGACTGAGCATGTTCCTTTGATAGTGTGTTTTTTTTTAAATCCAGTATTTTGTCCAAAAATTTGCCTCATTTTGTTACAATACAGGTTTTAGTGAATAAACCCACTGTGTTCTATTCTAAAATGTATTTCCATCATCATAGATTAACACGGATACTATAGTTATAATCAGTTTATTATAATGTCAAGGCTCTTTCACAAGTTTTATTTTGGGGTACTCGGTACTGAACAACTGGCAATTTACTGCCTTTTAGCAGTTACCTATGGGGGATACATAACTTCCATTTACAGGTACAGGTGGAGTGTAAATATTGTTCCAGTCAATGTTCTAACCATGTGTAATTAATTATCTTGTTTCTAATCTCCATTTACAACAAATCAGTAAGTCTTTCAGGCACGGTCAGTCCCTCTCTTCTTCAGCAGCATCAGTGATGATTATAATTTTTTATAATAATCAGTCCTGATGAAACGTACTTCGAGTGCTGTTACACTGTACTTGACTGATGTTTGATTTAGCTACTTTTTGCTATTTTTGACTTTGTAATGTATTTTTTCACTATGAGACATTGGTTGATTGGCTGGCAAATCCTTCTGGACGAGGTAGCAATCGACTGAGATTAATAAGATTCGGGAACATTCTTCCAAGGTCTCCCTGTTTTGCTTTAATACTTCATTTTTGACTCACTGACTAGTTTTTTTCTGAGGTTGTATTCAGGTATAAGGGAGACCCCTGCTGTCAGATCTCTATCATTGCTGCACATATATTGTCATCTAAGCACAATCATCGCTTTTTTTCTATACTTTGGGAAATAATCACTGTATAACAATGACAACAGTGACCTCTATAGGCCTGAGATGAGTATTACATTCTTTCCAGCCAGATTTGAGAAATAAGCTAATTTCCTATGTACCTGTATCTGATAATTAAAGGACCACTATAGGGTCTCTAGGTCCCCCCCACCCTTAGGGTCCCCCTCCTGCCGGGCTCTAGGGTGAGGAAGGGGTTAAACACATAACATTCCCCCTCATCGGCTGAATGTGCATGCGCGGCAAGAGCCGCGCGCGCATTCAGCCAGTGAATGCTTTCCTATGGACGCTGGCGTCTTCTCACTGTGAAAATCACAGTCTCTCAATCCCCTCTGTTCCTGTGTGTCCCACTCGTCTGGTTACAAAAACTTGTCTGTTAGTCCACCTATTGTACAGCGCTACGGAAATTGTTGGTGCTTTATAAAAATGAATAATACATTTTTGTTTACTAAGTGGACCAGCAGTGTGTTGTCCTGGCAGCATGATAAATAAAATGAGTCGTATAAAATGTAATGTTACATTTTATACTTTCTGTATGCCTGTTTCCTTCTCTGTTGGGTCCCTCCCCCTCCAAGCCCCATTTACAGGTGTATTTTCTTTCTTTTTTTTTTTTTTTTTTTTTTTACAAATCCTCATAAAGCGACCAAGTAAAAGTGAGTTGAAGAGTTTACAGAGGCCATTTAAGAGTTTTTCAGTAGTTTGTGTCTTGAAAGATGTTATCAGGGGCTGCAGGGAGAGGAGGAATGTCAGGGGAGATGGGGAGATAACTAGCATTTCCCATAGCAACTGTCACTATGAAATATTGTAAATGGGAAAACCTCATGTCCCTCCAGCATTGATAGCATTCTGTGACTAGCTTGGCAAAAATGGCCCAATTCTTACAATAATTTCAATGTGTCCAGTATTCAAAGACATTTGACCTTTTTTATGCTTCTGGTCATTGCAAATTTCCCTCGCTCCCAGGGAAGAAGGGTGGGATCCTATTCTAGCAAAGCTCTATAAACTAATCATTCTCACTCAGGAACAAGTGACATAGCATGATGCATGGCGATGACATACATTTGGCCCTGTCACTTGTTAATCATTTCTCACCACCTGGTAATTGATAACAAAAAGATACTGGAAGGTAGTGAGGGTGAGTTAGCATAATGTCACTCTGGCTATAATGATCTTTCCCTGTGCTTCGGAATGCAGGATATAAAAAATTGTGGGATTCATGTTGCACAGGTCCAGCTGAGAATGTCTAGACTTCAGAAACATTATTATAACACAGATCTATTCTGCTACCCTTTACAATTATAGAATTGGGGTATTTCACAACACAAGTTTACAATTTATAAGGTTGAGATATATATTGTATGTGTGTAAAATAACAGATAAAATTTGTATCTTGTAATCCTTTTTTTTTTTTTTTTTTTTTGCAATGACAAGTTTCCGGGAGAACCTCCCTTTCTCAAGTTTAAATCATTTCTGAGCAAAAACCTATACATAGAATTCAAAGTGGAGTTGTGATACTTGGGTTTGCATGAGTGCAGATAAGACTCAGGTCTATTAGAAAAGAGAGACCATTCTCAGAGCGGGTTTTAAATATCTTGTGTAAGGATCACAGGGTGGGGGCAGAGAAAAAACAACCAGTGCAGATGGTACTAGAAGGGGAGAGATCACCCCACTGTGTTGGAGATGCCAGGCAGAACGCGGCACACTGATACACATATGGTGGGAATGTAGGGACATCGTCCCATACTGGACGATGATTAAGGAAGCGATAATTGACATCCTGGGAGACATCCCGGAATGGAGCGCGGAGCTAGCCCTGTTGCACATCTCGACGCAACCCATTAGGACGTACAAAAGATCTATATTACGCCACCTGTTAAACGCGGCTAAAGCTAACATACCGGCACTTTGGAAACAACGCAACATACCGTCGAAGACAGAATGGATCCGCAGGGTGGAAGACATATATGGGGCGGAAGACATTCACGCCACCCTGACCGACCGTAAAATGAAACATACGGAGCTGTGGCTCCCTTGGTTCCTATTCATTACCCAATACAGACAAAGAGCAGATCCTCTTGAACCCACTAATGGAGTGACAGCAGACGCTGGTTCCACTTGACGCAGACTAACCCACCCTACCTCCCTTTCTTTTATACCTATTCCTTCCATATCTTTCTTCACCTTTGCAATCACTTAACTAATGGGCTCCGGGTCTCGGGGCTGAGGGAGGGGGCTTAGGGGGAAATATTAGTAGACGTGCAATTTGCTACACCCTCACGTCACGTATGCTTTTAGTCCCCGCAGGATCTGAACGATAAATCATGGCTTGGGGAACACGAGATATTCTTAGATACACATACTACTGTGGCACAAACCGAAGTGAGGGACAATACGTGTTCATCACTTATGGTTGTGCACCGAAAGGACCCACTTCACGCTCACCAAATGCTAACGCTGGTACACACACCAATGACGCAGCACATTCACTCACATTGACACTCGCGTTGTCAATACCAACGACATGTAACTCGCAACACGGGATATTAGCGTATTGCAGGCTCTGCCAGGATTGGTAACGACGCTGGCCTTCACGCATGCTAGCCACGAACTGGGAATACTCCCACTATTTTTGCGTGCTAGGATACACCTAGCGACACCAACACGGACCTACGGGCCCGAACCTAGCGGGAGCCAGTGGCTTGCCTTTCATACAATGACTTCAATTAACCGTTTGAAAGACCAGGTAACACAGTGTTATGTGGCTCCCGCCATAAATAGCTGAGAACGACCTCTCCCGACGCAACTCCCGTTTACCCTTTACGCACATATTGGCTAAGGGAAGCAACCTGTTTGTTACAGCCGTTCCATTTTATATGATACTACTGTTTCCCCTCGTTGTATAATTATATTGCTTTTAAAATGTCGACCGCATACTCACCCTGCATGAAGACCTACGAGTCTCTCTAGGGGAAGTTATGTGGAGATTTGCATATCTCATTGTATTCTATTTTGTGTACTAATATACTATAGAAACCTGCGAGTTTCACATTGTTTACCCACTCACTGCTTTCTACGTAGTGACCAATCTCAATAAAACGATTTTCAAAAAGAAGGGGAGAGATAAAAAAAAAAATAATTATACAGATTAAGAATGCGTGAATTAACATCCAAGAACCCAGAATATACATGAAGGCCTATATATGTCACAGGGCCGTATATGTTAGATGTCTATTTCAAAGTTGGAAACTTGAGGCCGGATTCGCGTTGACTGACCAGAGTCTGCGAATCAGTACCGCTCCGTTCAATAATCTTTAGTTTTGTGCCTGGAAACACTCAAGAATGTCCTTGCACCATTTTTTACTTGAACCCATCAGCTGCCATGCCTGGAACAAAGATCTCACTCACATTGCCATCAGCCCAAATAACCACAATGTTCATATTTACAAAAAAAGGTGTGAATCTTTTTAAAGGAGCACAATGGACACATAACAGGTATTGACTGGGCTCCTAAAAGTGACCGTATTGTGACCTGTGGAGCTGACCGCAACACTTGCGTGTGTGGAGCTAGAAGGATGGGGTTTGGAAACCAACATTAGTTCTCTATGTATCAATCGTGCTGCAACCTTTGTGAAGTGGTCTCCTCTTGAGAACAAGTTTGCTGTCGGGAGTGGAGCTAGACTATTTCAAACTTCTAGTAGTCATTCCCACGTATTGCAGTCCACATGGGCACTACTTTGGGACTTTTTATTCTGTATGCGGTGGTTTGGGGCTTTTTGCCTAGTGTATTGTTTATACATATTCTCACTGCTTATTTGTCCCTTATATATATTTTTACTAGGTTATCAATAAATTCTTGATTCATTTATCTGTATTATGTGCTGCTTTCCTTCAAGTATATTGTTTTAGCCTTTTTAAGGCACCCTCCTGCTCAACCTATAGAGCCTGGGACGGCTCTACGTCCTGTGAGTTCCATCCTATATAGAGGTTTATCATATATTTACACAGTTTGCACTATGTTTTTGTTTTCTAGACTGATCCTGATATCTGCGTTTCTCAGACTGGTGTAGTACTTGACAGCATTGTGTCTGTAGCATATGCTTCTAAAAACATGAGTGTTACCCAGCTGAAGACAGTGTTCTTACCATTGCGGAGTGTCATCTTTATATCTTGGGGGGGTGGGGGAGGAGAGAGAGTCACAGGGACAAATATATGAGATGCCCATTTCAAAGTTGGAAGTTTAACAGAGTAATTATCTGGGCCTGTGTCGCCTTTGAGAGAGTAGCCACACTCCCAATCACACTGCTAAAATTACTTTGTTCATTTTAAATGTTGGGCGGTATGTTACAGTCCAAGGGTGGTAAGGTATAATGCCATAAAAGTTAAGAGTAAAATGTATTTCTTGAAAAGTTCACTGCCAGTTACTGGACCGGAATAGAATATTAGAATACCGTTGCACTATATGAACAGAACTATGGTTTTCTTGTTTTGTCTTCTCTCTTATCAGCTGACTATGACTTATCGCTTAGACAGATGTTATTTTGCTCGAGCATTGTGGTGCTCTTTTTTGTTTAACATATGTAATTTTATGTGTGTGATTGTTATGTGATGACCGCCTGATCACTAAGTCTAAATAAAGAATGGGGCGGGGGGGAAAGTTCAGTTGGAGAGAGGAGGCTAGGTTGGATTCGTTCGATTTAGGAAGGGAGGTGGGAGGAAGGATGTAAATATATTATATGTTTGGTATGCATTGCCCTTTCTACTATATTGTACTTGTAACTAGCTCCCCAACTTTTCCCACTACTCCTAATCTAAAAAACAAAAATTCATTCATAATGAAATCCATTCAACTTCAACAAATTTCAACTTGAATTTTTTTTAGAATGTTTTTTTTTTTTTTTTTTAAATATATATTTTTGGAGAAGCTTTATCAATAGAATACACTATTAAAGTCCGTGGGGTTCTTGTAGATAAGTCATTTGAAAAGTTTTTTTTAACAGATTGTGATCATTTGAAAAGTTTGTCCAAACATATTAAATCGAGGCCAATGGCGTTAACTTGCCAAAATTCGCTACCTCCGCATTGCAATATAATCTGCTTCTACCTAGCCTCATGATAATTTAGAATCTGAATAATTGAAGTAAACCAATGGAGGAGAACCCCGACTCTATAGAGGGATAGACCCATATTTTGCTAAAAATAAACAAATAAATACGGTTCAGGACAACCTCACATCAAATGTGTTTTCTGCACCTAGTGCCTACAACAATCCGGTATCATTTAGTTCCCGTGCTGCTGCCCCCAGTGTTGGGAGGTATGTACTACTGATTTGCCCACAGTGTACGTTAACCTGTAATAAGTATACTGGGGCAGTCAGTCTAAACAGTTCAGGGTTAGGTCACAGGGATCTCTCGTTTATTAAATTACTGCACTGAGTACTGCGTTACAGATCTCCCACTCACAAAACAGCAACAAACACTTAATTTTCACATTGCCTCCAGTCCTGCTGTCAGCAGCAGTAAGTGACACTCATTTCTCTATCACATCGAATACAGCTCACATTACAGTGAGTGAACACCGTGTGAGCCGCAGAGGTTAGCTAGAGTTCATGTACCTTAACAATGGCGGATAACAAGGCTGTCCATCTATAGACCTCGAGGGCCACAAATGCCTTAGGTGTTATAGAAAACTGTTAAATCATGTGTCATTGCACTCTATTTGAATAGAGTAACATGTAAGGTGCTAAGTAAATAAATATACACACTGTATTACGACTGGCCTTACTATACTTCCCTCTACTGTAATATGACCTATAAACTGCTTTATAGATATAATATACACACTCTGTATAACTACTGCACTTACTGTACCTCCCTCTACCGTAATGTAACCTATAAACTGCTATATATATATTATACATACGCTGTATAACTACTGCACTTACTGTACCTTCCTCTACCGCAATGTAACCTGTAAAGTGCTATATAGATATACATACACTGTATAACTACTGCACCTACTGTTCCTCCCTCTACCGTAATGTAACCTATAAAGTGCTATATAGATATAATACACATACACTGTATAACTACTGGCCTTACTGTACCTTCACATTAGGACTTTCCCATATAAATCCTTTACTATGGGGTTTTAGCTGACGATGGATGTCATCAAGCACCTCCAGTGGCTGTTTGGTACACCTGTAACCTGTAAAGTGCTAAGAACACCTGTTAGTGCTCTATAATATTTAATCTCACTCTGTTCCTGTGCGTCCAACTCAACTAGTTGCAAATACTTGACTGTTAGTCCATCTTTTGTACAGCTCTGCAGAATTTGTTGGCACTTAATAAATAATAATAATATATAGATAGAATGTCAGGGTACCTTTTGTCAGGGTTCCTTTGATTCAGCTGCAGGGTTCTGGGGAAAAGGTCTGGCGGCCTTCCAGCGTTGATAGTCATTCTCGCGCCGGCCGTCATTACTCACCCAAACGTCCGAAAATTGACATTTTGGGGGCGTGGTTATCATCCCAGACAGATCCAGTCACAATATAAAAAGGCTCCCATGAGTTAGGTTCCTTGCCCTGTTGTGGTTCTTTGATCCCAATAGCGCGTTGTACTCTTGGTATTTTCTGGTATTGAACTTTGGCTTGTCTTGACTATTCTTCCCTCTGGTATCCGTTTGACCCAGCTTACGTATTCTCGTTCTCCCTACCTCTGGCTCCCTGACCTCGGCTTGTCCTGTCTCTTCTTTATTCTTTAGTAACCCTAGTCCGGCCATTCTAAGGTCCGGTACATTACTACTTTGCTTACTCTCTGTAGTTAGGATCCCCCTTATTCCTGACATTACAACAGGGCCACTATGGATCCCACAGGAGTAAGTAACCAAGTAGACCCTGGCAATAACCGCTTTGGGTAAATGGACCATCGCATTAACCAAATGGCTATTGCATTGCAAACCCTGATTAACAGACCTAGTACTGGGCCTGAGGAGACTCGTAACGCTCCAGCAACTCTCCTTAACACTGGTCTTGAAGTAGCTACGGTAGGGGCCTCATCTCATGTTAAACCACCACTACCAGTCAAGTATTTGCAACTAGAGCACCAGAGGCTTGTAGAGGTTTCCTAAACCAGATTAACATACATTTTGAACTGCAACCTTGCTCATACCCCACTGATAGAGCCAAGGTAGGGTTCATGATAACCCTTCTACTGGATAGAGCTTTTTCCCTCTTTGGGAAAATGACAACCCCATAGTATACAACTATACAGCGTTTGTGGAGGCATTCAGGCGAACCTTTGATCCTCCTGGAAGAAGGGCAAATGCTGCCAGAACCCTCCTTCGCCTTAGACAGGGGAATAGGTCTTTAGTGTACTATTCCCTGGAATTTAGATCTTTAGCTTCCAAAGTAGCATGGAATTACCAGGCTTTTGTTGATGTTTTCTTGAATGGGGTATCAGAAGCCATGTTAAATGAGATAGCCACTAGGGAAAAAAAAAAATCTAGAAAATGTAATAACATTTATGTCATGCATTGACGAAAGGATGAGGTACAGGGAAAACACGAGACAGAACCAGAAGAACTCCTAGTTATGCTACACCATTACCCAATGCACCTGAGTCGATGGCACTTGCCTTGCCGGAACCCATGCAGTTGGGGGCTACTAGGTTAACTGAGGCAGAACGCCAGTACAGAAGAAGGGAGGAACTATGTCTCTATTGTGGACAAAGAGGGCATCTCCGTTTGTCTTGTCCAAACAGGCCGGGAAACTCTTGCACCTAAGTCCCTATAGAGGACAGGCCTTGGGTGTTTCGTCATTGTCCTCCATAGAACTCCAAGATCAAAGGCTACTTTGATTACCTTACCTTGGGAAGAGAGAGTGATTACAACAGCAGCATTAATTGACTCTGGTGCCGCGGAGAACTTTATCGACCACGATTTTGCACGAGAGAATTCCATTCCTTCTCAGTTAAGAGATACACCCTTTGCCTGTTGAGGCCATAGATGGTAGACCCCTCCGGGTACCCAAAATAAATGAAACCAAACCAATTTCTTTGTGGGTTGGTGTGTTACATAAGGAGTATTGTGTGTTCCAGGTAATTTCATCACTTGCTTTCCCAATAGTGTTAGGATTCCCTTGGCTAAGGAGGCATAACCCTACTATAGATTGGGAGGGAGGTGATATAGTAGCCTGGAGGAACAACTGCCATCAGGGGTGTATTGCTCAAATAAGACCTTTCTTTCTTACTAGTATACCTACCACGGTTTTTGGTAAGGTCAAAGCCAATTTGTTACCTAGCCACAGAGTATACAACTGCACCATTGACTTATTACCAGGCACTATGCCTCCCAAAGGTACTGTTTACCCTTGTTGGTCAAAGAAAATACTGTACTTGAGGAGTACATTAAAGAAAACCTTGAAAATGGGTTCATTAGGAAATCCTCGTCACCCGCCGGGGTGGGATTCTTTTTTGTGTCCAAGAAACAGGGAGATCTCAGACCGTGCATCGATTATAGAGGTTTGAATAGGATTACTGTATGTAATGCCTACCCTATTCCTCTCATAACGGAACTATTTGATAGATTAAAAGGGGCCAAGATTTTTACTAAGCTTGATTTGAGGAGTGCATAAAATCTGGTTAGTATTCGCAAAGGAGACGAGTGGAAGACAGCCTTTAACACCAGATACGGGCATTATGAGTACACGGTGATGCCTTTCGGGCTATGTAACGCCCCAACTGTCTTCCAGAATCTTATCAATGATGTTTTAACGGAATTCAAATAAGAATTCGTGATTGTCTATCTTGATGATATTTTGATTTTATTCCAGGGATCTGGTAACACATCACCAACAAGTTTTGAAAGTCTTGACTAAACTGTTGTGAAATAACTTATATTGTAAATTAGAAAAATGTCTGTTTGATCAGTCTAAGATTTCCTTTCTGGGTTATGTAATTTATGGAGAAGGTTTTGAGATGGATCCCAAAAAAGTAGACTCGATCCTCAAATGGCCCATTCCTAATGGGTTAAAAGCTATTCAGCAATTCGTAGGGTTCTCAAATTACTACAGGCGATTCATAAAATAATTTTCGTCTATCATCCCTTCCATCACGAATTTGTCTAAGAACGGTATTAATCCCAAGAAATGGCCCAAAGAAGCTATAAAAGCCTTCGATACATTAAAAACAGCCTTTAGTGGGTTGTAGACTCCGTCTCATGCTACCACTAGAGTGAAAGCATCGCCAGCATTCAAAAGTGACCAAAACATCAGCCAGGAAGCACAGGAACTGAGAAGTGGTCTGTGGTCACCACCTGCAGAACCACTCCTTTATTGGGGGTATCTTGCTAATTGCCTCTAATTTCCACCTGTTGTCTATCCCATTTGCACAACAGCATGTAAAATTGATTGTCACTCAGTGTGGCTTCCTAAGTGGACAGTTTGATTTCACAGAAGTGTGATTGCTTTGGAGTTACATTGTGTTGTTTAAGTGTTCCCTTTATTTTTTTGAGCAGTGTATTTCATTCATATAAGCTAGTTGCTAGAAAAGTGTGCAATATGCAGGGCCCTTACCTGTTTGCATGTATCTCATATGTCCTCTTGCCGTTATTTGTATGTTATGTTTTCTTCAGCCATTGTACAGCACTGCAGACTAAGTTGGCTCTTTTTAATAACTGCTCTGCATTTTGTACATCAGGGTAAGAAACAAGTGCCAAGGACACACTGATAAACTAATGATGGATGTTAGGCAATAATGCTAATAATACTAATTTCCAGATGATGATGATGATCATAGGAGTTGTGGTCTTATAGCAGTCTGATAATTGCAGAGCTACAAAGTTACATACCCTAAGTTTAGGAGAGTGAAACATGGAATTTATGTTAAATGGATTAACAGCAGCATTTTCTTAAAGGCTTACTCCAAGTACCATGATCACTTTTGATTTGAAGTGGTCATGGTGCCTGTAGTCTGTATGTACAGCTACTCCACTTCCATCAGTCATGAGGTGTCATCAGCCAGCCTGGAACAAGTTCCTGGCTGGCTAATGTCAATTCTGTGCAAATTCTCATGCATAATGTGCCATTCATTAGCTAAGAGTGGTCAGCTGATGCTCTCAGTGCCATTCATTGGCTGAGAGCGGCCAGCTGATGCTGTCGGCCAATGAATGGTAACTGGATCGGCTTTCTGCAGTTATGCAGAGGCCAGAAGCATTTTGTAAAGGGCTTATTTAAATGCATTTCTACTTCTCCTCTTTGCCCTGTCGTGGTTTACCTAGTGATTGTCTGATAGTGTGTTTCTGAACGTTTATTTCTGGTTATTTGACTTTGGCTTTGTTTGACTTCCCTGTATTCTGGTATCCCTGACTTTTGGCTTTCCCTCATCGTTGTGTCTCATTCCGTGTCCCCGACCTCAGCAAGTATTCTGACTATTCTCTGGTACGTTAACTCCGGCCATTCTAAGGCCCGTTAAGACGTTACCTGTTAGTCCTAGGAGTGATACAGTTCTACGTGCCGGATCAACTTGTAATCCTGACACAAACTACGTTTTTTTTTTGTTTTTTTTAATTAATATATACATATATTAATATAAAAATACACTTAGCGTAAAATGGCACACGTATGTGTGTGTGTGTATATATATATATATATATATATATGTATATAAAATAACTATATATATATTGTATATATTCTTATAAAAAATAAATGATTAAAAATAAATGTAAAAATAATAAATATATTTTACAAATTATATATATATATATGTAATTTTATTCTAACTGTATTTTGATATAAATATACATATGTATATCAAAATACACTTGGAATGAAATTATATATATCTATGTATATATAAATAAATAAAAATAATATGAAATATACATATGTACATATACGTACCGGTAATTACATAAACATTTCATAAATATACACGTAGACTTCAAATATATAAATATGTATATATATTAAAATTCTACATGCATATTAATGTAATATTTTTACATAATTAAGTAAATTTATTGATTGCTATTTTGGGGACCTGCCTGACAACCAGAGAATTTAATTTGCTAGCATTGTATTTAACCCTGTAACTTTCCAAGACACCCTAAAACCGGTTTATAACAAATTATCCACTAAACACCCCATGTGCACGTGAATGGCTAAAGCTACTTAGCTTTTTCTGACAGCTTCCCAAGGCCCCTCCCCTGTTGGTGACCTCAAATAAACAAGATATGGTATAGAAAATATGGGATACAGCGGAAACCATAAAGCAAAAAAAAAAAAAAAAACAATAGTGCAACACTGTATAGTATCATTAGCAGTGCCCCCACTTTATATGGAACTCACAGACTCCAAGTGATTCAGCGCCTTAAAGTTGCCTTCCCTTATGATGGAGGTGAGGATCCTCTGTCAGCTTGTAGCTCTCCGGATCAAAATCAGGAATCAGGTAGGTAAGTATAAAAGGATTTATTCGATTTAACAAATCAAAATAAATAAAAATGTATAAATGCAATTTGGTGGCCGGTCCGTCGCGTTTTGTTTTGTTAGAAACTTCATCAGGGACCCAATTTTCACACCGTTACAATGATCATACATTATCAGTAACAATAAATCGCCCTACCCATCACCTAAGTTTGTTCTCTTAAATATGGCTGTTCCTGATTTTCTCCGGTGTGTGTGGGGGGGGAGTTTCCATCCATTGCCCTAATCGATTTTCTCCTCGCAGCTATTTGGAGTTTTTTTCACTTGCCACCCTGTATATCCAACAATATTATTCAATTTCTGGTTTGCGTTCCACCGCCTCCTTCCGTGCATTCCAAATTTTCAATCAAACTTTAGTGTTCGTATAGTCCCCAATGTACAAAATAACACAGGCATGTTTGAAAGTTTTCATCCATTATATGATATGATGAAAATAATGGTATCTTTAGAAAGACCATTTAATGGCGGGAACAACAGTATATACAGTAAATGAGTAAGAGGAAAACTACAGCTAAACTCACACACCGCAGAAATGTAAAAAGAGCCCTGGTCCCAAACGGTAAGAAAATTGAAAAGTGGTCTTGTCACTAAGGGGTTAAAGGGACACTATAAGCACAAGAACAACTACAGCGTAATGTAGTGGTTCTGGTGTCTATAGTCTGTCCCTGCAGGCTCTTGACTGTAAACACAGCCCCTACTGCCTAGTAACACCTCCAGGGGCAGTAACTCAGACATCCACTAGAGGTGCTTATTGGGTCAGTGCTGCACAAATCATGAATTGACTGAGATTGTCAATTCTGATAATGTCAGCGAAGGCTGAGCGGGGGTGGAGCCAGCTCTGACAGACCAGTACGACACTGGAATTCCTTTAATGTATAAACCCCATTATTGGGTGGTAGACTAACTAGGATTCAAACCTGGGGTTTCAAGTTATAAAGCAGTGATGTTAACATTGTTCTAACCAGCCATTATATGCAGCATTTTGGCTAATAACTCTTACTTACTTCTAAACCAGAGTAATCTGAATGTACCTTTCCTGGTTAAATACTTTGTTGTTATTATTATTATTAACTCGTATGTTCAGCAGAGCCAAAACATTCTGATACATATGTTTGCTTCCTGTGTTCCAGAGGACACCAAATCTAGGCAGTACTTTCAGAAACTGGTCACTTGATTGGTCTGGTTAACACCAAAGAGAGAAACCTTTCCATTATCTAGAATCTTGCTTGGAAATTCGCTAGAATAATGTATATAGTAACAAAATGTTTCTCATTGAAATGTATCCATATTATGTTCAGACAGAGTGTGATCTAAAACCGTTTTTACACAATGTTCCAGTAGAAAAAAAAAGGTAAAAACACTTAAAATACTAAGGCGAGCTGTAGTGGTTATGGTTTAAGGAGTGGTCTAGTGTCCCCAATGTAAAGAGTCTAAGCGTTGGATAAAAGTTTGACTTATTACCTGGTATCTGATCAGCCAATGACCTTGCCTAGGATAGCTAATCAACGCTACTAGCAGAAACATCTTAAACTCCATACTGGAAGAGAGCGGTGCCCATCGTACCCCAGTTACGAAGTTAAAATTTGACAAATGGTTTGACTACTTACGTGAAGGGGTACAAAGGCACTCATGGCATGAAAACCACTCTAGTGTGTGGACCAGCTTTGGGGATAAACTGTTAGAAAGTTTGTTTAATCCCAGAAGGTAAGACACTGCCCTGACACTCCTGTCCCCATAACAACGACTATAAGATGATGATGTTATGGTGGTAGGAATGTTCCTTTAAGAATACCTCTGTGGGCTTTATAATTTTCTTTATAAAATGTTAGGAGCAACTACAAAATGATTGCACTCCTGCTGTTTCTCACCTTGCCCTACAGATAACGATTGGCCCCCTGGATAGCAGGTGACCTCACATTGACCATTTCGGCTGAGTTGCTGATTAACTGTGATGACCTTTTGCTGACTTCATGTCTTTTCTGTCTTCGGACTGTCTGTTATCAGCAATCAGTGTTTCAGAAGTAATCCCAGCCTGTGTGTGTATTTAGCTAAGCATGGCTGAAGATCAATTCAAACCACAATGGGCTCTGAAGTGTCCCAGGCTTTCTGTTTTTTTTAAACAAAAATTTCAAATTTACTTTTTATTGAAGATTTCGGCATGCAGAAATAAAAATCTTTTAAAAAGTGTTATGTTTTCCTTGTTTGTAGGTTGCAAAACGGGTTTTTACTATGCCTTGTAACTAGGGTATGTGCTCTGTGGGTTACTTTGCCCTTTAACCCCGGGGCTTTAGGGGGGGGGGAGAGTGGTTTATAATCTATGTATGGGGCATTCGCCTCGTCTTTTCGTGGCATGTTGGCCTTGGCTGACCGGTAAGGTTAGGTCTAGGCTGTGAGTATTATAAAATAACTGGTATAACATCAAGAATGCAATCTAAACTAACGACATGTTAACTTAAATCTGGGCGTATAGTCGCCACCGGTTTCAAGGTACAGTCCCAGGGTATTCAGCAGGTATGTCCGTGGCAACACTGGGTAGCCCCAGTGTGGTCATTAGGGTTGGAGCGTCCCCCAAGGAGGAAATCTTATAGTGGTTTTTGCCTTTGGTCACCCATAGCGTTCTTGGAGTCGCCCATCGGTATGCAATGCCCGCTGTTTGTAGGGTGGACGTGACGGGCTGCAGGCTCTTTCGCCACAATAGGGTATTTCTGCTTAAGGCCTGGAAAAATGTAAGCTGGTGTGTTTCGAAGTCATGCAGTGATTTCCCTTTGACTCCTGTCATCAGAGCAATTTTCATTGTCGTGGGGCTGCTTGTGGTACTAGTCGAGGTTTAGCAATGTGATATACGCCATCAAATGTAAAATGTTTCACTTGCTTATTCGGAAGGAGAGAGGCCACCAAGCGCCTTATGTAGCAGGGCAATTCGTCTAGTGGTACCTCTTCTGGTACACCTCGTATTTTGATGTTCTTTCTTTTGCTCCTGTCTTTTAGTACGTTTATTTGTCTATTAACGTTAGCTTGAGCCTTTTGCAGCTGAGTGACTGTGTCTTTTAGGGAGGTGAGGCCCTGGCGCAGATCTCTCACCTCTTGTTCCGCAGCGTGGGTGCGGGCTGACACCGCTTGTACTTCTGTTGCAAGTCCTTTTAGGTCAGCCTGCCACATAAGCTGGAGATTTCACTGGAGGCCAGTCAGCATGATCTTAATGCCCTGTTTTGTGGCCGGAGTTAACTCTTCGGCGGGTTGCATGTTCGCGCTGTCAGTGGCAGCCTGGGCTGTGCTGTGTGTAGAGTCCCCATTCTCTGACCGCTCGGGTGAGACTGCCGTGGTGGTTCGAGTCCGCTGTTGCATGGGAGTCTACAACATGCTGCTTATGTCCCTGTGCGGTAAGGAGTTGTTCTGGGCTGGTTTATGGGACCTCCTTCCCATTTCTTCCTGGGAGTAAAAGTCTGCGGCGGCAGAGTATAAACTCGCCCCGAGCCACGATGTTAGTTCCCTGTTCAGGGTCTGCTCGCGTGTATGGTAAGCCCCAGTACCTTTTGGCGCATCTGTGGAGTCGGCCGGTTGTCGGGAGTGTGTGCCTGCAGCTCGTTTTTACCAGTGAGGTTTATTTTTGTTTTTTAAGCATTTTTCCGCTCTTAGTTGTTAGAGCTGTTGGAAATGGCGCCCTCTCCGCTGCGCTGCTAACTCCGCCCCCCATGAATGCAATTTTAAGACGACAAACGGGAATAAAACAGCATTAACTGCTATTTTCGCTTTGTAACAAAGCATCGCTTTGTAACAAAGCAATACAAAAAATAAAGTTTGCCGCTGAATGGCTATATTATCAAACAAAACACAAACTGGGTCTTATCGGTTTAGGACTATGTGTTGATAAGCATTCTTTTTCCTGGTGCATGGTATTGTGGGACTTGAGATTCAAGGTCACATCCTAAAAGTTCATAGCTGTGACATTCAAGAACGCCTCGTAACCTAGTATATCTGAACATGTACTGATTGGCTACTGGAGCGTAATATAAAATAAAGGCCACACTAGGTGGAGTTGCACTAGCATAGAGGTAACAGAACATCTTCTCGCGCAACTGACATCAAAACAAAACACTAAGCCCTCTGTGAATACTTTCCTAGCAACCTACTTTACTACCATAGCCTTACCTTCTGTGTCACTATTCCCCCACCACTAGCATGTAAGATCATTGAGCAGGGCCCTCAATACCTCTGTTCCTGTGTGTCCAATTTACATTGCCGTTAGTCCATTCAATGTACAGCGCTGCGGAATTTGTTGGTGCTTTATAAATAATAATAATAATTATCCCAGATGGAATGGCTCATTAGATTATTTTACATATTTTTAATATATATGATTGCCTACCTCTGTATATCGCTCATGGTCCAATTTTGTGTGTCCAACTTGTCTGGTTACAACTACATGTCTGTTCGTCCACCCATTGTAAAGCGATGCGGAATTTGATGGCGCTATATAAATATCATAATAATAATAATAATGTGCAGCAAAGCAGTGAGTTTCTCTGATCCAATCCTTCTTTTAGTGAAATTTATTTACAAATTCTCACACAGACGACAGACAAAAAAAAAAAAAATGTATCACACTTACTTTATCAAATATCTCTCATTTAGTCTCTGTTTTGGTGTTATTACTGCTTTATACTGCCCTATTGAAAACAAAAACAAAGCGCAGATTTTCAAATTCTAGACACATCTTTATTGAGAATAGTCCAATCTTCCCACTTGCATTCTTATTACAACCTGTTTATTTTACAGGAAACAATCAATTAGTTCTGACTGAGCTGATGAAGAGAGCTGCGGTGGCCGAATGTCCGTAACAAACTGAAGTGGTAAGTATGGGTTTCTGAAACCAGATTGACATTTGGTTTATATCTCATCATGCATATTGTTTGGAAAAATTACATTTATTTGTTGCCCATTATTTATTTAAACACTTAATTTGCCACTGGTTTCCCAGTTTGAAACCAGCGACTTTACCACTGCTCTGACCAAGAGAGATGATATAGTTTACACAGATAATATTGTAAAGCGCTACGGAATCCGTTGGCGCTATATAAATGCCTATAATACGGTGTGAACAGAACAGAGTTTCTTTAGAAGCTTATTGCAGCTCTCAGTGAGACATTTAAATCTTGGTTTATATTAGATAAAACAACAAATTATTTAGACACCACAGACCATTGTTGTTAAGGAGTAAAATGTACTAATGTCATTTCCGGTTTTAAAAATAATCTTGTTTTCTTTGTTAGTTTTTGTGGCGTCCAAGATGGTGGTGAACTCTCCGTCCCCTCTTCCAGAACGGGCTATTTATGGTTTTGTCCTATACCTGAGCTCTCAATTTGGATTTAGTGAGTATGGAGAAGTAAATGTCATTTACTTATATTTGGATTCCGTAGCAGTTACTTTTGTATCATAACAGGCTGACCATGTGCGCCGGTTGGGTGAGCCACAAGCCTCGTGTGGTCCATGCTGCTCATAGGTAGAGAGAAAAAGCACGGCACTGGTTGGTAAAAGTAGTACTCATTGAAAAGAGAAGATTCAACATATAAGACTGCCTGTTACAGTGACCTGTTTTGACAACTCTCTTGCTGCAGAAAGTGCTTATAATGCTGCGTTCTGGAACAGAACCTCTTCTTATTTGGAATGTGTTCTTTATCAGTTCGGCTGTGCCGAATCATAGTTAAATATGTATTCCCGTGTTTTCCAGCACAGCCAAGCTGACAGAATTCAGTAGGCATTGGTTGACTATTTAAACCTCAGTTTTGCATTGCACTAGTAACCTTTCGCAGTTACTATGACCATTTAGTATGTTACTTGTTTTATCATTTTGATTGTTACGATTTTTGACTTGCCTACTGTTCACTGTGATATCATTTACTCAAATTGTGTTTGTTTTTATATCCTTGTCCTCCGCTAGTTATTTGACTATTCTTTTTTGTTTTGTTTTTAAATTCCTTGTGTCCCATTCCACATGGGAGTATAGCATAGTCAATACAACGTGTCACAGAATAAGTCATCATAACTGCGGTCACTGGTACAGAGAAAACATACAAAAAATGCAAAGTAGTGCATTATAATGGCATGCCTATATTTGTACAGATATGAATACATGCACAGTATACAAATAAATTTAAATATATGTGATATGCAGTGGCATACTTACCATGATCGCAGCTGTGACCGGGCCCCTCACCATGCGCCGCCTGGATAACTTATGGGCGGGTGCACATCCGCACCAGCCCGGGTCTGCGGTTCCTGATACTGGCAGGAGGGGAGAGCTGTGTTGTGTTGCTCCCCTCCTGCCTGTGTGTAGCTTGGCCGGGCAGTCTGACAGAAAGTGCTCACTGAACCGCGCAGAGAAATGTTGGTCCTGGAAGGGAGAGACAGGTAGGAATGGGACACAGAGAGAGGGAACAATGGGACACATGCAGTGGAGGGGGAGAGTGGGAACAATGGGACACATGGAGGGGGGAGAGAGGTAACAATGGGACACAGGGAGGGGCAGGGGAGAGAGAGAGGTAGGAATTGAAAACAGGGAGGGGAGGGGGAGAGCGGGAACAATGGGACAGGTGGAGGGGAGGGGGGGCAGAGGTAGGTAGGAATGGGACACTTAGAGGGGGAGAGAGGTAGGAATGGGACACATTGTGGAGGGGGAGAGAATGGGAAACATAGAGGGGCTGAGGGGAGAGGAATGGGACACATGGAGGGGCTAGTAGGGGAGGAGGGTATAGGACACATGGATGGGCTAGGGAGGGGGAGGAGGAGGGTATGGGACACATGGAGGGGCTAGGGACGGGGAAGAGGGTATGGGACACATGGAGGGGCTAAGGGGGAGGAGGGTAAAGGACACATGGATGGGCTAGGGAGGGGGTATGGACACATGGAGGGGCTAGTAGGGGAGAAGGGTATAGGACACATGGATGGGCTAGGGAGGGGGAGGAGGGTATGGGACACATGGAGGGGCTAAGGGGGAGTAGGGTATAGAACACATGGATGGGCTAGTAGGGGAGGACACATGGATATACTAGGGAGGGGGGTATGGACACATGGAGGGGCTAGTAGGGGAGGAGGGTATAGGACACATGGATGGGCTAGGGAGGGGGAGGAGGGTATGGGACACATGGAGGGGCTAAGGGGGAGTAGGGTATAGGACACATGGATGGGCTAGTAGGGGAGGACACATGGATATACTAGGGAGGGGGGTATGGACACATGGAGGGGCTAGTAGGGGAGGAGGGTATAGTGATGGGCTAGTAGGGGAGGAGGGTATAGGACACATGGATGGGCTAAGGAGGGGGAGGAGGGTATGGGACACATGGAGGGGCTAAGGGGGGAGGAGGGAATGTGACACATAGAGTGGCAGAGGGAATGAGACACATGGAGGGGCTTTGGGGTCAAGGGAATTAGACAAATGGGGGGCCTGGGCATGGAAATGAGAAACGGAGAGGGGGGGAGTGAATGAAACAAAGAGGAGGGGCCCCAGGGAAATTTTCGCACTTTTTTTTCACCTAATGATGCCTAGTTTTAAACCATCCAGATACATTCATACTAAAGGTTGTGTTGTAATGTGCTCTTTTGTTTTTTGTTCTTTGTAGTTCTATACTTGACGTGGGCCTTTGTTCCCGAATCGTGGTTACATTCATTAGGACTGACTTATTGGCCCCAGAAGTAAGTGCTCAACGAAAATGTACGTGATAAACATTCTAACTTATTTAGGATTAAAAGCAGCTTAAATGTGGTTTCACAAACGAACCTGATACTCACTGCTAACATCCATATTTATTCTGTGTAATTAATTAACAGCATTTTCAGTGTATCTATATACGTTTGTCCCCTATATCATGGCCCACAAGCACAGCTGGTTTAAACTGTTGGTCAGTGGGTAGGAGGTGAGATTTTCATTAGCTGCACATAGAAGCCTTTTAGACGGCATTTAATTATGGCCCATAGGGTAACAGTCACTCAGAAGCCAAATTAGATGCTGCGTGGAAAGGTGCTTAATGTGTCATTATATTATAATCAGGAAGCACTGACCCAGATCATGCCACCAGCTGTGCTCTTCAAACACTTTATCGGGGCAGGAACAAGTAGAGCACAGGTCGAGGGAACTCCATATGGAAGGAGCATATATTGAGAAAGAAGGGTATTATGAACAGATACTATTGCTTAGGGAATAATGGAGCTTACATAGTTGGATGATGTTTTACTTTAATAATATGAAGGAAAGGGAAGTGGTGTGATGGGGGAGGTAGACTGAACTCATGGTGGGAAGGTGGCCTGAGATGGTGAGGGAGAAATAGAGACTCACAGAGGGTGGGAAAGGTGGTAATATGCCATGGCTTTGGGCAGTGAGAGACTCATATGTACTGTGGGAGTTGGGGTGATATCATGGGAAAAAGACAAATTGGAAGTAGTCTGATATAATAAGGGCTAAAACCATTCTCCATCACTATAATAATAACATTGAACAATCAATCCAGGATGGTGTAACATCCATTATTCCGCTCAGTGAAACACAAATATCAATATTTAAAGCAAGATGAACCACCTTGAGATTGATTTTGCCACATACTTTGCATCACTGAGCAGGTGATGGTTAATGCAGGATAGCAAAAACATTGCTGGATAATTGCTGATCCAATCTATGTTCAGGTAACAAGGACAGATCGGAAGAAAAAGCAAGCTAATCACATTGTTTCTTTGTTTCTTTGCAGGTACTGGGCAGTAGCGGTGCCCGTCTACCTCCTTGTTGTACTGGGAATTGCCTATGTCCTTCTCTTTGGTATAAACATGATGAGCACCGCTCCTCTGAACTCCACACATACAGTCACAGGTAACTCGCACCCATACTGATTGGGCTTCCAGGGCAGACCATGGGTGGAAAAATAGACACCATATCCATGAACATATACAGGAAATGGCACATAGTGTTAGCACAGACAATGGGGTTTAACAGAAAATGAGTTGGAGCTTGTTAAAAAGCCCCTTCCTTTTCATTGCTCCCACAAGAAAAGGGTCACTTTTTAAACAATATGGGAAATATTGTCCTGTTTCAATGATAATTATCTCTGTAGGACATACACCTACTGTATGTTCACTTACGCTTTATGGGAGATGAACATGTGAACAATGAAAACAGATGTGTATCATTTTATAACTTTGATATGGACAGAATTATCATCTAATTGTTTCAAAGAGAAACCGAAGTGAAGCATTTTTTTCCGCTTTTGCAGTATGATTGGAAATTGCTTCAAAGTAGTTTGTTTTGCTTTCTTTTGGCTCAGCCATTTCGAGGTCAGCCATTACTGTTGCAGACATCATAGTCATTCATTCAACAACTGTATGGATGGTGTACCTTGATAGAAAATTTGTGGGCAGCATGGTTACAGTCACATGAGACGATAGAGACACATGGTAGGATAGTTAGCTTTTTGGTGCCAATAGTGTAACAGGACGTTTCACAGTGCAACTAAGCACCACTCTACACTCTGCCTCTCCCGATTTATGTAAAGTAGCAAAACTGGGGGCATAGTGAGCACCCCTATTCCAATGCATTCTGAACTGTTCATCAACTAACTTGTCTGATAGTTATTGCCAATATGGAACCCCAGGTATGTTTAAAACAATATCACTATACCCTCTCTCAGTCTTTGGAGTGCATGGTTTGCAATGTAGAGCACACCATTAACAACTTAAAGTATTTCCTTACAGATATGTATGCCAGCAATCAGCAGACTAAAGAATACCAGGAGGGCACAATCCCTGCGATCAAGGATATCCCTATCAGCGAAGTCAACAAAATGTTCTTTCTTTCAAACAAAACATTTCCGCACGAATCTTCTAGAGCCAGAATACCGACACCAAACACATGAAATGCTCGTGAACAAGTTGTGTTGTTGTTGTTTTTTCTTGTAACTTTTTTTTTTTTTGTATTTATTTCTGATTTGGATGATTTTACTAAAATAAAAAATAAATTTTGCCATAGGACTGTTTCTCTGGGAGAATAATTCAGTAATTAAAATTTTCTCAAATAATAATTTTCGCCAAGCCACTAATAAACTGAAACTACTAATTGTGGTTATGATTATTAGTTTAAAATTGACCCATGGATCTTCTTGGTTTGGTTGTACATCCATAAAAAAAATGTAAGGTTATATAAATGAGGGAAATTTGTGTTTATAGTTTGATTTTGGCTTATACGCTGTTTAACATAGGATGTCCCTTTTTATTGGTCTGCGAATTCCCATCGGTGGAACAAGGCCTGCAAGCTGCAGGGTGCCATCAGGTGGCTCTCACACTTGGAGCTACCCAATTAGCATCTCTGACCAACGAGCCCCATCAGGTGCTGCGGCCCTTTAGCAGTGCAACCTGACCCCTGTTAGAGCCAGAGGTGCCACCCAGTAGGAAGAAAGTTCAGGTCACTTCCTCCAAGCTTTTAGCGAGAGTTGGGAGGGCAAAAAAGAGAGGGGTGAGGAAGAAGAGCTTCAGACAATCAGCCAGATTCACTGGACCCGAGAGAACCCACTGTATAACAACTGAGGATCTACCTTTTGGTCACCATTGCAATACAGAGGGGCCTAAAAATTCCTCACATCAGGGCCATCTCTTAGTATTAGTTGTGCCACTGCACTGCTCAGACCAATCTTTGTACGAGTGATAGTATTTTTAGAGTTTTCTGGTTCAAGTTTACAAACCATGAGGGAGTTATATCTATTTAATTAAAAATAAAGTCGCTGTTTAATCCGTAAACGGTGTATTTTCGAATAACACTTTCTGTATCCTAGTTATTGATATGGGGGATCTTACGGGGAGAATTGATTTAGAGTTTAAAATTACTAAAGATAGATCTGTAAATAAAATAATTACAATGTTGATGGTTTTTCACAATCATAGTCTTAGTTAATTATTTGACTGGGCTCTGTGTGTTTTTATCTGTAAATGAATTACAGCAGTTGAAAGCAATGGCCACTCATATCCGTCATATGACCCTTCGACCTAAACCTGCAAACACATTTTTATTTTAAATCTCTTAACACCTACACGCTTAGCCACAATACAGCCTGAATATTTTTTTTCTCCATATACACACAAATATATATATGAATAGAGCGATAATGAGGGCAAAATTAGAATACATAAAAGTAAGCGGTGTGTTCTAGAATCATTATCCATTTGAAGATTTCTGGAGACATAATTAAACACTCGACCAAAAGCAGAGTCTTCATAACCAAAGAAATTACATTATTTTCCCATAATTCATCGTTCACCACTATGTTTCTTTTTAAAGTGTTTTCTTTGCAGGGTTCATCACTTGCTGACAAATTGTCAGGAATTCAAAGTGAATTTGTAATTTAAGACTAAAGTAGCTGATATGGAAATATAGCTGACCTACGGGATTTTTCCAGTTTGGATATTTTGGCCTTACATTTGAAATTCACCCTTAATACACTGAATACCCAACAATTCTAACCCTGAATAACCCTGTGAAAGTTCTTTTATACATTGTATAAATTCTGTTACACCCTATGCTTGAACATATAAGAAACCCGTGAGAAAAAAAACATTAGGTCTTTGAATCTAGGTGGATGAAAGGCCCAAAAGTCACATTCAGATCCTATCAGTGATGTATGTGCCATTACGCAGAATGTATCAGAGTTAAAACCAACACTCCCGTGTGTCTTTGAAGTGAGGCGTCTGTGGATATTATCCTCTTTATTTGCAGTTACATTTAAAGCTAATAGTATATTAGTGACCTTTTATTTACAAAATAAATGACCTGACTAATGTGCAGAGCAAAATACACATGGAGGTTTACATCAAAGGGACAGACTGAGAATCAATGTTTCAATTCTATACAAATCCAAACTCTCACGACTACATCTAAATTTCAATCCAAACTCTTACAGATCGAAAACCAAGACAGGACATCCAAACCTATCCTGGCACAAATCCACCCTGTTCTTTTACTGAGTGATATAGTAGAATTGCTTTCAAGTCACAAAACATTAAAGGATCACTATAGTGTCAGGAAAACAAACTCGTTTTCCTGGCACTATGTAGTCCTTAGGTCCCCCCCACCCGCTGGGCTGAAGGGGTTAAGACCCCTTCAGCCACTTTCCTTATTCCAGCACTGGGCTCCCTCTGCGCTGGTGACCTTGGCTTCCAAGTGGAGCTGAATGCGCATGCGAGGCCTGAGCCGTGCACGCATTAAAAAACGCCCATAGGAAAGCATTACTCAATGCGTTCATATGGACGTCCAGCGTCTTCTCGCTGTGATTTTCACAGTGAGAATCACGGAAGCGGCCTCTAGTGGCTGTCAGTGAGACGGCCACTAGAGGCTGGAATAACCATCAGTTTCTCTGAAACTGCTATGTTTACAGCTGCAGGATTAAAACTAGAGGGACCTGGCACCACTTCAGATCATTGAGCTGAAGTGGTCTGGGTGCCTATAGTGGTCCTTTAAAACATAAGTATCCTGGTATGAAAATCTTTACTGGGATGGTGGGTGTTGAAGCAACCCATTTAAAAAGCTGGTTTTCTCCCACATCTAGACGGTTCTGATGATAATGCTCTCTATATACTAACATAGAAAGGGCCACTCTGACTTGCAAGTTAAGGGGACATGCATTACTTTGATAGTTAACTCACTCTGCAGGTAAATATGATTTTTTTTCTTTTACATTTTTACCTTTTGCTTCTATCATGCTTTCCACAACCATTCCAGGAGGGTGGGAGTGGCACTGATCTAGCAAATCAGTTTCCTATCCCTAGGAATGCTGCGAACGTGCATTGGGCATGCCTGACTGATTTGAAAGATCTCTTCACCTTGCAACATCCTGACGAGGGAGAAGAGAAGGAGTCTAATCGGTATGATCATGCAGAGCCAGCTCTGGAGGTAGATTTATCTCTCTTGATGCTGCACGATGATGCCATGTTTCTGTCATTAGTGGATTGGCTTGAAATTAAGATGGGTGGGCAAAAGGGAGGGCGGGGGATGAAGAAATTCCTCTGTGAGAGGCGTGTCCAAGGATGCAATCTGACTAAGTTTATAGTAAGTTTATAAAGGTTTACTACATATTTTTCAATGTTTTTCTTGCTTTAATTTGGTTTGTATATTTGTTTAAACATAGAAACATAGAAACATAGAAACATAGAAACATAGAATGTGACGGCAGATAAGAACCATTCGGCCCATCTAGTCTGCCCAATTTTCTAAAAACTTTCATTAGTCCCTAGCCTTATCTTATAGTTAGGATAGCCTTATGCCTATCCCATGCATGCTTAAACTCCTTTACTGTGTTAACCTCTACCACTTCAGCTGGAAGGCTATTCCATGCATCCACTACCCTCTCAGTAAAGTAATACTTCCTGATATTATTTTTAAACCTTTGTCCCTCTAATTTAAGACTATGTCCTCTTGTTGTGGTAGTTTTTCTTCTTTTAAATATAGTCTCCTCCTTTACTGTGTTGATTCCCTTTATATATTTAAATGTTTCTATCATATCCCCCCTGTCTCGTCTTTCCTCCAAGCTATACATGTTAAGATCCTTTAACCTTTCCTGGTAAGTTTTATCCCGCAATCCATGAACCAGTTTAGTAGCCCTTCTCTGAACCCTCTCTAAGGTATCAATATCCTTCTGAAGATACGGTCTCCAATACTGTGTACAATACTCCAAGTGAGGTCTCACCAGTGTTCTGTATAATGGCATGAGCACTTCCCTCTTTCTACTGCTAATACCTCTCCCTATAGTGTTTGCTGGTTTAAAAAAATGGTGTGAAGTTATGCATGTCCATTTAAGATGCCCATTTGAGTTCATTCAGTGTATTAAAGGGACATTCTTAACACAAGAAATGCAACAGATTAAAGGAACACTGAGCGCACTGTAACTGCTTCATCTCATTAAAGTGGTTATAGTATCTGGAGTACCCTGGCACCATCCTTCCATTCAGTGTTAAAGTGTTTTTAATGGTTTAATGCTATATAAGAGTCCCCAGCATCTCATCCCCTTGTTCTAATAGCTATTACAGTGCCCAATCAAGTATGAATCGGTATAGGAAGAAGGAAGTGTGTAATATCTGTATTAGCCACACCTGCAGTGGGGGCAGAGCTGTAGGAAGCCAGGGCCTCTTATTTAGGCACTATAATCATTTCAGTAAGATTAAATGACTATAGTGCCTACAGTGACAGAAGTAGAAGAACACAGGCAACACTCCAGGATCAGGAAGGTAAGTTTATTTATGGATACACCAACTCATAAAGTGCAACGTTTTGGCTCAACAGAGCCTTAATCATGCAAAAGGGATACAACATGACAAAGTGCTTAAATAAACCCGTACCCCAAATTAAACTAATTAATGAATTGCATCACGTGTTAGTTAAACACATCCATAGAGAAAACTCTAAAACATGACAAGGAGTCTCATAAAAATCCTAAATAGTACTTAATAGTCTTAAAGGTATAGTAACCAACTTAATCTTAAAGGTACAAAGCAGAATATGAATCTGTGTGACATAATGAGAAAATAGGGAATAAACATCCTTAATCATAGAAGTCAGCAAAACGTCAGAACTAAGAAATGGATCAAAAGATCACTCTATTAGAAATTCCCAAGATAGGAGAACAAATCAGCTTAAAATTGAACCATTTAGTTGATATTCCATAAATTCATGGTCTGACCAATCATCAGTGGATATAAGCTAGTATATAAAGTATCTACATAAATAGAAAAATGGTAATATGATACATAATCACAATATAAAAAAATGAAATGTATATTGTACAGGTGAAATAGAATGTCCCTGAAGTGTAACCGCCATAATCCAGGTGGGCACAAGAGGGTACAAAAACGCTTCAACTTGCAAAAGCCCTGTGTAGCGAAGCGCGTTTTGGCTATTTTACTATTTTATCTAATATTAATAAAGGATTATTGGCTAGTATACACTCCCTTTTTTTCTTTGCCATATATCTTTTTATTCTAGCTTTTTCATATTTTATTTATTTTATTTTACTTCTGGACCTGGTTTTCTATTTACTTCTACATAAGCATTTCTATTGCTCAAGAATCCTAGGTGGGGATGATACCACCTATGTCATCAAAGTGAGCAGTCATTTCTGATTACTAAAACGTGAGTATTTTACACATATATACGCTTATCTCACGTTATATATAGTATACAGTGAGCACTATTGTGTACCACATTTTTTTATCTCGAGGATTTTCTTCACGTGCATACACCTATATCCCAACAGCGGGGGACCAATACCGCTGACTGCGAAGTATACCCGAGCTAGTTCGAGCTCCACAATAGGTGAGTGAGATATTCTTTCGTTTTATATCTCCATAAAGAAACTCCAACCACAGTATACACTATTGGAATTCTCCTCTGTTCTATTCACATATTGCCACTCGGAACAAGAATCTGATGACCACTTCCTTGTTTGGACTATTCCTCTTTTTTATCACTTCTTAAGTGGACATGAAAACTGCCTGTTCATTTTAGGATTTGTTTATATATACTGCTTTGTTATATATGTAAGTACTCATTGTATTGCTGTATTGTATTGATATTTGCTCTACCTTTATTTATTTTATTCTGTGGCGCGACCTAAATTACTCTTATTTCTCATAAGGTGTTTAATGTATGAATCCAAAAGGACTCCTTCTTTTTAAGCAAGCCTTGACGATTACCACCTCTCCTGATTGGGGGAACATGGCTAATAACCTAAAAATGCAATTGAGAGATATTGTGATTATGTTCCATAAAATGTGCAGGTATAGGTAGTTCATTCTGTCTA